AAAAGTTCTCATTTCATAATTAAAACCCGTGAGTTAGTGTTGCGAAACAAGATACGGTTTGTTGCTCGAGTTCATGTCGAATATAGATTTGACAATAACCCTTCTGGTTACCATTTTAAATTTTTTCTTTGTCAGTAGCCCTTCTGGTTACTGTGTTAGGTCATAGACGGCGTATATGAGTATACGAGTGATCTGAAATACCGACATAATGAAAAAAATCATTGATTTTTTAGTCTCTTCATTTTTTTAATGTCTATTCATATATCGTCGTTTTTTGTCATTTGCTTGTTTCTTATATTTTTATTATTATTATTATTATTATTATTATTATTATACTGACTAGTTTTCAATGACTTGACTTTTGTATAATGGGGTTATATGTTATATTCTTCAATTATTTTTAATTAATACGTTCTTTTTTTTCAAAATCACATTTGAACACATTAGATCACATTAATTGAAAGTCTTTCAAGTAGGAAAAGTATTTTCTAAATTCTGATTAAAAATGAAGTATTTAGAAACGCTAGGATCATAGTTTTATTTTATAACATTTTTTTTTAAATAACGTTTGCGAATTACTAATTTCAAATGTCTATCTGCGTGTTCGCACATGACAAGTAATTATTAGAATATTTGGAGCTATCAGCGATTCCGTCATTAGCAAAGATTGACCCATTAGGATTTAACACGCTTTTACAACACAGGGAGTGGTTAATTGGTTCGTTCGTATGCGAAAGGCTAGATTAGAAACTGGGGAATGCAATAAGATCATAGAGCCGTGGCAAAAAAGCTGCGAGAAAATATTTATGTGAAAGTAGCCGTGAGTAATTCGTAATGAGAATCACGTCGATGTCGACGTAGCCTGTCTACGAAACCCGTAATTACCGGCGCCGGTGGAAGGACCGAGACTCGGAGAATAGCCACCTTTTAAAAAGGTGTTAAAGCGTGCCGCGAGCGTGGTTGGCTAGGTGTTAATTTAAAACAAACCAAAGGATAGCCACAATTCGAAATCTAAGGACCGCCGACTATCCTATATTTTGAACCGAGACGTACTGCGGTCCCAGCGGTTCAAACTGGGGCACACGTTCAGTAACGTATCAAAAGTTTTTGCAGAAACTGGGTTCTCTAATAGAATAACATTACTAACCTATAATGAATTTTTGAAAAATTTTTGTTTCTTCACGAAGCTTGAACTCTTTTATAACCTACTATAAGTAAAATTTCATTTACTTAGGTATACGAGGAAACATGATAAGCAAATAAAATTTTCTAAATATGAATATAAACTATGAAAGGTCTTGTAATTATTAGAGTGTAGAGTTTTAGGCATTTATAGGACAAAATTCGGAGAACTGTATTTCTGTTAATTATTTTCAATTTAAGATAGTGAGAAATTCGCTTGTTCTTGTGAATTATTTCATCAAAAATTTATTCAATTACAACATGATATAAAAGCTTATTCTATTTAAGCAATAAAATAGTATAAGCAGTGGTATGAACTAGGCAATAAAATAGTATAATATTCACAAAAAACATGTCTAATATGCGTATAAAATATATTTAAAAATTTCAATGCTACGGGTTCTACGGTTAGAAGAAATGTCGTTACAATTGTAGATTTGCTATTTACTTTGTAATCAATAGGAGTTTTGCAACCAATTTTATTTTACAATCTCACAGTGTCGATTCTCGAACTATTTGTTAATATTCCAATCAAATTTTTAATTCGGACACACACACATACACACACAAAATTGTTCGTAGGAATTTATATATTTTAGTCGATTTACGATTTATGAGTAAAAGATATAAAGATTTTTTTCCAATTTCTGTACCAATAATAACATTGAGCTCCAGAAAGTTATTCTAATGCAACTTGGGCAGAATAACAGAGATTTGATCTAAACATGCATGCTCGGAAGATGCACATGGTCTGAACGTTAACGAGACAGCTCTGGAGCTCATTAAGGTTTCGCTTTATCACGATCGGGAGAACATACATATGGTGAAAGGTCCGTTTTCCAAATTGAAAACAGTATCGTATCGCGGCCACCGATCTTCGATGTATCTCGTCTTGCCCTCTAATCGCCAGTTAAAGGCGCGAAATATCGCAATCTGCAATCTATCGATCTTCGAAATTAGCATTCAGGGCGTGAATCTTTTTCTTAATCTCACCGGGCCACCGACAACTTTCCAAGTAATTTCTTCACCCTTAAGCGACCAATCCGTACGCGATCTATGCAAACTGCTCGATCCGATCTTCCGTAATATACGATCTCTGCTTAATTCTTATCCACGTAAGGTAAAAATATGATGGTGATGGTAGCATACTTTTTATCTTTATTGTTCGTGAATAACTATCATAATCGCGGTATCACAATGAAGTAATCGTGAAAAATACATATCTGCCACTTGCACGTAGAATATTTTTTGTTTCTCTGTCCAACAACTACTTCGTAGTATGTAATTTACAAGTAAAAATAGGAAAAATGTCTGATATGAAGCTTGCAAGACTGCAAATATTTTGTTGTAGGTAGAATCGTAGACAAACATTCGATATAACGTAGGTTAATTAATGATGAATTTTATTTTAAAATTTGCACAGTAGAACGAGTAAAAATAATAGTCTTGAAATAAACAGCGACAGAGTAGAACACAATTTATTATTAAGTTAGAGTAATTTCTAATTCATGTGGAATAATCGTGTGAAATGTGAATAACTATACTTGTATTTAAATAACACTTCTTTTGACTGTAATATCAAAATACAAAGAATAGATTGTTGTTATTGTAGTAGTGTACGA